CCGAGTGTTCTAACTTAGACAACTTCCGATACATCTTTAGTAGGAAATAAAAAAATATTTTTTTGAAAAAATTAGCTTAGATTTTTTTAAGTTATTTTTCAAAATAATTTAATATTTTTATTATAATGAAACACATGCAAGATTGCAAGTTCTTTTCATACAATGCTCTCGCTAATGCCATCAAGAATGAGTTCAATGGTGCTGCAAACGTTAATGTTATCTTTAACAAGAAGTTTGTGAAAGAATCTAAGTTTGGTCAGTATGTCAGACCATTAGCTATCGTCATTGACCGCAAACGTTATACTTCACAAGAGTTAGCAGTAGTTTTGAAACAAAAGAGTTTCTTCGTGAATGTCAAAGATACTCATTATACTGTCATAAAGAACTCTAACATTGACTTCTTCAGTATTGCTATGAATCTTTCCGAACAGAAAGAATATAAGAAGGGTGAAACAAATGTGAAATATTATCCTTCATCTCTGAAGACAATAACGAACAAAGATGTTATACAGAAATTCTTACCAAAGGTTGAAGAAGCTTCAATTGACATTGACGAAGGAAGTGAAATGGTTGAAGAAATTGACCCTGACGTTATTTGAACAAAAATATATTTTTGAAGAACTGAAGGTGTCACCACGTCACCATGTGCTACCAGGTTAATTAACTTCTTTTAAAAATGATGACAACATGACATTTTGACAACAGTCCAGGAAATAAATTTTATCGTTAATGTTTACGTTAATGTTTTTCATTAAATTTTGACAAAGTGCAAATCTTCACTTCGTCAAAAAGTTAATGTTTTTTCATTGAAATCGGTAAGTTTTCATTAAATTTTGACAAAGTGCAAATCTTCACTTCGTCAAAAAAAGTTAATGTTTTTTCATTAAATTTTGACAAAGTGCAAATCTTCACTTCGTCAAAAAGTTAATGTTTTTCATTGAAATCGGTAAGTTTTCATTCTTCCTCTTTGAAGTTGTCGAAATATTCTGTTATCTTTTCTTTCAGTAATGTTAAGTCTTCTTTAAATGTAAGTATTGTGCAACCTTTGATGTCATAGTGTGTTTGAGGAAGAGTATTTTTGACAATTTCCTTTATTTGCTCATTCGGTGTCATTGAAATCGGTAAGTTTTCACGATAGAACCAGTTTCTGTCAGATTTATATATCTTAGCTAAGTCATAAAAGCTCTTGTTGTTTCTTCTCACTAAATGCAACATAACCATATCTCTATCTTCTTCTTTCTCCAACTCTTCAGCGTAAATCATATACTTATAGCTTTTTTCCTTTCCTTTTGGTACTGAACGTGGTATTCTTTTCTGTATGCTTTTGTCTTTGGATTCAATGACTTCATCTTTTGCTTGAAGTTTCTTTTCCATCTCTCCACGTTCTGCTTTATATAGTTCATCTAACATCATGAAAATATAACAAGCATAACGAGGTGAAGCCCACATTGCTACAGCATTTACTAAAAGTCTATGAACATAATAACCTTTCAAACCAGGAGCCAAATTCTTGCGATTTTCGTACGGAATCTCTTCCCTCGGTTTTCCGATGGAAGCAATCATATGAGGAAATTCTTCTAAAAGTTCTTTTGCCTGTTGGTTTTCAAACCAATGATATGCTTGCTTTGTAGAAAGAAGAGCATTCAAAATACTTTGCATTTGGTACATGTCATCTTTGACTGAACGAATAAGACGTAACTGTTTGTTATACTGTATGTACTCGTATTCTTCATTTATGGCTTCATGAACGATAGCAATTGTTGTGTTCTCTGATGTTGACATTACTGTCTTTACATACAAAATAAAAAAATAAATAAAAATAAAACTAACTTTATTTTTTCTGAGATAAACACTATTTCTTCACAACATTAAATTTTATCCTGTATGAAATGACTTTAAAAAGATTATTGACTGACTTCGAATACTATCTCATTGACGCACTGACAGACCCTCAAAACTGTGTTGAAAGTTCTTTAAGCTTTAAGATTGAAGGTACGACGCATTTTGTCTTCACTTACGTATTGAAAGAATATGACCGTTATCATAACGAAGTGAATCAAACACTAATAAAATTTGTAGATAAAAAATTGGTTAACAATGAATATTTTAAACGTGAAGACCCAAACACTGCTGGAGATGATGAAGAATACAGACAAGTTATTGAAAAAAATAACGCAAGATTAGATGCAATAGAAAAGAAGTTTAATGAATGTCTTACAAACACGTATGAATATCTTATGCGGTGGGAAGCTAGATGGAAATAAATTTACGTCAAATATGCAATTTATAAAATCTTATGTCGACAGGCTACGTAGCACAGTGGTCTAAGGTGGTGTTATGGAGGGGTCAGGGTCTGTGGTTCGAACCGCGACAGCGCCGTATTTTCTTATTTTCTTTGTTTGTCTTGTTTGTCGTGAATAAAAAGTGTCATAAAAGTGCTCTATCTTCCACGGGAATAAATAAAAAATTTACTTTATTTCTTCTTTATTTCTTTGTTCCCGTGGAAGAAGGGTTTTGCTGTTTTTCTCAGCCGAAATCAATGATTTTTTCATTTTTGGAATCCTTAGCGAATGGGGAATCTTTTCTCTCGTGGAAGCTTTGACCAAAAATATATTTCATTTTCAGCATTATTTTTTTGCATTTTGACACGAAGTGAAGATTTGCACTTCGTCAAAATGTGATGTCATGTTGTCATCATTTTTCAGAGATGTTAATTAACCGAGTGACACCTTCAGTTCTTCAAAATAATTAATTATTGAATAACCTAAAAACATTAACGTAAACATATATTTTTGGTCGTTTATGATAAAAATAAATGGTTCATTTACTCACAATATTTTTGTACAAAACAACCCCAAACTTTTAACTTCTTTTCTGCAGCTTCTAATGCTATCTTAGCGAGTTCATATTCTCTAAATTCTCTCTTTAAATCTTCTTGTTCCCATTGGTCTAGTTCGTATGGAGAATCTCTATAACCATAACATATCTCACGTTCATGTTCTAATTGTTTTTCATGCATTTTTCTAACTTCTTCTTCAAACAAATGTTTTGCATTTTCTACTGTATCTTCGAGTTCTTCTTCATCCAACTTCTCATGAACTTTCTTGTCTATGGAGTCCATAATTTTTCCAACTGCTATGCAATATTTTGGAGAAGCCCACATTGCTATATAGTTTATAAGTCTTGGGTCTACATACGTTCCTCTAACCTGTTTGATTTCATCAGGAATTCCTGCATGAATTTTGTATAAAAAGCAACCGCCGGAATTCAGATGGTTGCTATATTCTTCACAAAATGCCTTATAATACTCTTCCCAGGACTTATTTTCCAACAACTTTCTAAAGTCTTTCCTAAACTGCTGACACATCTTTGTTGCATTAATGTAACCATCCTTGTCTCTACGTAAGACTTCAATACCGTTATAAGTGCCTTTTGTGAATGTTTCGCCATTAGATTTGTTAGTGAATGTTTTTGCTTCGACTGACATTACTGTCTTTACATACAAAATAAAAAAATAAATAAAAATAAAACTAACTTTATTTTTCTATCTTAAGGAAATTCATGAAAATTCATGAGGGTGAAAAAACAGGTGAGAAAACGGGTGAGATCTCACCTCTTCACCTAAATTATATTTTTGTCTGATTTACATCTAATGAAAAAGTTTAGAAGAATTTTCTTATTCTTTCTGGCATATTTTTGTCTTTCCAGTACTCCCGCTCTAATGGTCCCAGATGTGTTGGCTTCGACTCTCTCAAGTTCTTAGATGGTATAACATCTTCAACGCCTCCTTCATATCTTACTTTATAAGTGTCATCGTTTGTGTTATAGCCAAGTATTTCAATAACCACTCCTCGCTTTGCTTCGTCAATGGTTTCAGCAAGTTTGCCATTACTACTTTCGACTAATTTATGACGAGGATAAAACGCAATAGAGTCGTCGGCAGCTTTTATAAGATATCCATTACCTTGCGTAGAGTCTATGATATAATAATTTCGACTTAACCTTAAACGTTTCTTTGTCAACGGTTTGTCGTCAAGAACTACACGAACTTTTGTACCAGGAATGAGGGTAAATTGTGTTGAATTTCTGATATTTTGTGTTTGGCTTCGTTTCTTTTGTATATAATTTTCTTCTTGTTGTTGTGTCATTGAATTTGGTGTATGTCCTGTTGTAGAATGTGTTGAGGAATTATATACTTCGAGAAAATGTTTCATTGTTTCTTCGGTAAAGTCTCGCTCTTGATTTAAATCTCTGAGCGTTCTTATGAAGCGATTAATGATACCGAGTATGTTATGGTTATGGTCTTCAGTAGTGTAGTGAGTTATGTTATGCTTAATGAGAAAATCTGTGATTTCATTGCTGAGGTATGCTGAATCCTGGTCTGATGTTAAAGTACTTGGGCTATGTTCTGCTACAAACTTTTGTAAAACTCTTAACACTTCACGAGTTCCTTTATTCCTCATTGGATATGCATATGCTTTGCGAGTGTTAACATTTATGAAGATGAGGAATGGGTTATGTCCTCCTTTTCTGCTTTGAATGAGAGTGTCAAATTGGTATGCGTCAGGAGTGTTGGAGTAAATTGGTAAAAAGTAGTCGTAAGGGTTTATTTTTGTTTGATGTACAACATTTTTGTCAAAGAACCTTTTCACTTCAGCTCTGTTAGTAAATCCCCAACTCTTTGCAGCTTCATTGAACTTCTTAAATGACCTCCATGGATGTTGTTCGAATACTTCTTTCAAGCTCATTTATGTAAAGTTAAAGATTTTATTCAAGGCTCAAGCGCGTTCATTGAACTCTATACCATGCGAATACAGTCACAAATGGTGGCATATAATCTTCACCTGAGCCTGTTGGATTTGTTGTGAAAGTGTGTGAATGATTTCCTGCGGTTCCACAGAAAATACCTGCGCTTGAATCTACTGGGTCACTTGAAATATCATATCTATGCATTCCCTGTCTATCCGAACCTGCTGCAAGATTTGTATAACCTCTTTTTGTTATTGAATGTGAATGACTACCTTTGTGTTTGTAGTTCCTGTATGAGTGTGCGGTGGAAGGTTTGCTTCTTTAATTTTCTTCGAACCACCTGTTTGCTTTGAAGAGTTCGCACAATAGAGGAATTTATCTACAATCTGTTCCCACGTACCAAAACCTAAAACACTTGCCGGATTTGTTGAGTTCATTGACGTATATAAAGAACCAACAGGATATAATGTTTGAAGTATTTCAGTCTTTAATGTTTGAAGCTCTGTTTTGTCTGCTTTCTTATCTAACATTGTTGGTAGTTCATGTGCTTCAAAGTTTCTGGCATGATCTTCGATATTCCTGCAACTGTTATCTAAATTGTTAAGAGTATCTTTTACGCTTGTACTTGGATTTTCTAATGGTGCATTTGAACCAAGGTCAAAGTTCAATATTATGTCGTCTGCTCTAACAGTAGTGAAGGATTTATGTGTATGGTTTTTGTCTGCTTTCTTATCTAACATTGCTGGTAGTTCATGTGCTTCAAAGTTTCTGGCATGATCTTCGATATTCCTGCAACTGTTATCTAAATTGTTAAGAGTATCTTTTACGCTTGTACTTGGATTTTCTAATGGTGCATTTGAACCAAGGTCAAAGTTCAATATTATGTCGTCTGCTCTAACAGTAGTGAAGGATTTATGTGTATGGTTTTTGTCTGCTTTCTTATCTAACATTGCTGGTAGTTCATGTGCTTCAAAGTTTCTGGCATGATCTTCGATATTCCTGCAACTGTTATCTAAATTGTTAAGAGTATCTTTTACGCTTGTACTTGGATTTTCTAATGGTGCATTTGAACCAAGGTCAAAGTTCAATATTATGTCGTCTGCTCTAACAGTAGTGAAGGATTTATGTGTATGGTTCTTGTCGGCTTTACTGTCTAATGTAGCTTGAAGTTCATTTATATCGGAGATGTTGTGTTTATGAGATTTCAAAACTTTGTTCATTGCTTCGAGTTCAACTTTGTCAGCTTTACTTTTAATAGCATCTTCAAACGTTATTTTTGACTTAACTCTCAAAGTAAATCTTGGTTCAACTAATACACCTTTAACAGAGAAAGTAGAGGCATAAATTTCATCGTTATAACTAAATGCTTCTGGTGCTTTACCCGTGTCATACTGTACAGTACAGCTTATGTCATAACCTTTAGCACGAATGTATTTATATCTTCTTTCATTGGGGTCTTCCGTCTTCACTTCATCACTTCGTGTTAAATATCCATGGTAGTCCGTTATAATCTGTTCGTCTGAAGTTATATAATGAACGTGGTTCTTGACTTTATCACTCAGAGCTAAAAGCTCATTTTTGTTTGCTTTTTCGGCTAATTTCTCATTAACATCATTCACTTCTAATTCAACTCTTCCGCCAGAACTCTTATTATCATTAATCTTTTTCATTAATTCGGTAATTACGTCATAAAGACTATATTCTGTTTTCGGTTTTGTAAATAATGAGTCAAAATTTCTTTTCATCATTACATCGCTGACATTAATGATATCACCAATTCCTTTTTCATTTATTCTCTTCATTAATTCTGCAATAATGACGAATATATAATCTGTTAATTTATTCTCTTCATCGAGGGTTATAGAATGTTTTGAAATTGAATCATTAACTCCTCTAAATAAATCAATAACTTCAGGATACACGTTTTTAATGTCTCGAATAACCCGACCAGTATCCTGTTGTTCATGTTCTTCGTTCCCGTCGTTACGTGGTTTTATATCTCTAACCATCATCAACGCAGCCATAACCGGAGGGTTTGTTGCTACCTGTTCGAAAATCTGACCGTTATGTATGGTATATCTAAATAATTTCTTTGTGTTTGTTAAAACATTTGAAACAAGTCTTTTAAAACCATCTACAAAATTTCCTGTTTCACCTAATGTTCTTGCAGCATTTACAAGCTCACCCATTCCCGCTTTTGACCCCAAAAACGTCCATATTGCATTTATTTCACTCTGTATTGTTGTCATTCAGCAAAATTAATACCCGCATTCGCTAAGCTGAAAATGAAATTCAGTGGATCGAACTTAATTCCACCTTCTTTTTCAATTTCAACGAACTCACTAACATGAGATTTTAAATATTCTTTCGTTAAAATTGTTTTCCCCGATGTTATGTCATTAACGAAACTATCACCGTCAAAAGTTAACGAATTCAATTTCGTCGTTGATGCTTTTATTTCATACACCGCTTTATCGATAGTTTTTTGGCTCACCTTCTTTAGAAGCATATGAAACATTAATGAATGAATTATATGTATTCATGAATGAATTAAAATCAATGATTTTCATTAATGACGCCTTTAATGATTCATTTACTGTCGAATCCCTTAAAGTAATTAATGAACTGTCATTTATGAAAGGTACACTGCAAACCGTCGAGTTTGGATCAAATGCTATAGTTGGTGCAGGAATATTAATGATATAAGTCATTAAATCATTAAGTGACGTAAATAATGTTGTCGTTTTTGATTTAATTTCTTTAGCATCTGTTATATATGGTAATTTTATTTCTGTAGTTTCTGAATTAAAGATATTCGCTAAAATGTTTTGTAAACTGTTTTGAACAGCTTGTAAACCGTTGAATCGGAACTCTTACGATTTCACCATCCTTAATAAAAGGCATTGTACATGGCGTAGTGCTTGGGTCAAATCTTTCGGGATTATAATTCAACATATATTCTAACGCTTCATGAACAGACTTATATACTGTTGTGTCGTTCTTCATGACAACTTCACCATTTACAATGAATGGCATAGTGCATGGAGTTAAAATGGGGTCAAACTTTTCATAGTCCTTCCATGTTATGTATTTCTCGGTATTTCCATCACTGATAACAATATATTTGTCAGTAAGTGTGAGAGAGTATTGACCAAAATATAAACGTTTAGCTCTGTCAGCTTCATACGCATATGCAGCTATACTCATATTTTAATGAGAATAAAATGTTGTTCTATTTGCAAAGTACAGACCCAAACGAATACGGGACAGTAAAACTACAAACAAACTTAGGTCTACAGAATGAGCCACTTGCATTCAGAATGGTTGACTTTAATACTATTGCTTCATTCGTTATAACTGACAAAACAGATTTCATGGAGCTTGAAATAGATGGAAAGAAGCACGAAATAAGATTTCACAATAATGTAGAATATAAGATGGAAACATTAGCTGGAGTGTTAAATGCTCTCATAAATACTACAATAAACAAGGATAACGGAGAAAACTTAATGAATGTTAAACTTATTGCAGGAGTTTTGAAGTTCAGTTATGCGAAAGAGTTTAAGATACCAAGAATGAGTCATAGAGTACAACTTCTTTTGGGAGCATACCATATGACATTTCCTTTGAAAAGTGTTGACAAAACGATTGAGATGAAATCTGTTCCATACGTATGTTATGGTAATTGTTTGTACATTGAGTCAAAAATAGCTAATGTCACAGGTATTTCAGGAGTTAATAGTAAAGGTTCAGTAGAATATAAATCCTTCTGTTATGAAGTAAATTCAATGTTCATTCCAAACGTTCCTGTCATAGCAACTCATTTAGGTAAATGGGTTCGCATTAGTCCTCATAATTTGAAAGACATGCAATTCAGACTTGTTGACTTTCAAGGAGAGCCTGTAGAACTGAAGGCACCAGTGCGAATGACTGTTGAAGTTGACTTTTTAGAAAATATTAAATGCAACAGCTTACAAGAGAACTCAGAGCTAAAAATATAAAGTATGAATGTTATGTATTAGGTCATGAACTTTGGTTGTTGCTGTTTGATGAAACAAATGAGTTAGTTATGTCAGTCAAGAGAACAGAAAAATATTGTGTTAGTGAAAACTGCACCAAGTCAATAAGATTAGGTTTGCATTATGAAGATGAGTTCGATACTGTTGAAGAAGTTTTGGATAGATATTACAAATTGCTTTAATTTACTAAAACATATTTCAAACAAAGCTTATAGTAAGTAGATAGTTTTGTATACTCGTTCGAATATTTATACTTAAACTCAACTCCTGGAGTACCTGGTGTTTCAATGATGCGGATGTTACCTATTTTCATGAATATTGGAGTTTGACCACAGCATTCGATTTCAGGGTCGAGATAGTCAATGACACATTGCTTTCCTGTTATTCGTGATATAATATTTTCAAGGTCCTCCTTTGTTAGAATTATTTGGTTCTTACTTATAAGATTTGTCAAAAGCTTCTTATCGTCTTTGAGTAAAATTGTTTGGTATAACTGAAGAAGGTAATGGTCTACGTTATCTGAAGGATTTGTTTGAACATTTGTGTAAGGGTTGTCGTTGGCTTCTCTTGAAAGAACTTGGTCCAGTGGTGGATACTCTAACTTAACATCTGATGTAGCGTTAGCGTTTGAAGCTGTGTTTAAATTCACCGACTTAAGATCTGGTTCTTTTTCTTTCAAACACTCCGAACTATAGTTCTTTATGACAATATTGTTTGTCGTTCGTGAGTCAACATTTGATGTTGGTTCAATTGGAACATTAACGGCACCAGCTAAGATGGATTTGCTTCTCATTTCATATAGAATAAAAACCTTTTATATGTATGAAATGAACAATATACTCGACAAGGGTTTGAATGTAAAGCTAACGAATGAAAATATTGTTGAATTCACTGAGACAGGAGCTGTGTATAAAGATGTAGAACTACTGAACAAAAGAGCAAAGGGAAGAAGCAGGAATATGAACAAAGGGTGGAAGCCTATAAAAATTTATGTCAATGATGGCTCAGGAGGTTCAAACATAAAGTATGCAGAAAGTTATAGAGTTTATGCTCTCAAAGGTGAAAAGCCTTCATTTAAGAACAGCTATTCTAACGCATATCCTCAAAAGCTAACGGATGGGGAAGTGGATGATATGAATGACAGCAAAAATATTAACAGAAATGGCGACAGAGATGCATGGAATTTGTTTACCATCAGTCAATTAAGGTTAAATTTAAAACAATGTTGGTCGTTCCCATGGAATATTTTTGACTTTAATGGTATTAGTCATGATATGAATCTCAAGGTATGAACGAGGAGAGATGAGAGACTTATATGCTTCCCAAATTTCTTCAAAAGGTAATGTTATACCTGACTGTTTCCAAATGAGTTCAATATCATAGCGTGAGAAACCTTGAAAGATAACGAAGTCAGTTATGAGACGTTTTATGTTTAAAGCAAGGAAACGCCATGTTTGCATAAGTATTGCTACAGTTAAATGGTAATGTCTGACTTTAGTTATGATGTTAGCTAATGGTGAGTCAGGCTTTGACACTAAACCTTTTCCGGCGAAGTCGTCACAAACGAGCAGAGTGTTTGAAGGATACTTTTTGAAGGGGTATTTTGAAAGTTTTGATAGAATGTAGTTTGTCAGTCGTTTCATATCGTAAACTCCTGAGTACTGACGTAAGTGGTGTTTGTCAATAATTCTTTCCATCTCTTCTGAAGTCTTTTGCATTCCTGACTGTATGAACTCTACAATAGCATAATATTTTCTCTTACGTCGAATGTAACGTTGAAGAAATTCAATGAGTTCGCTATCTGGAACTTTAACGACAGATGCTTGAACTTTACTCATGAATGTTTTCGCTGTTGAATCCATAGAGTCTGAAGTTGCTGATATAATGATTTGGTCATAGTAAGAGTCGTTTCCTAAACGCTCTGTTATGAGTATATGACGAATGAGGTTAAATGTCTTACCTGAACCCATCTTTCCACAATAGAAATACACACCATTTGAACAGAATTCATAATCTTTGCTGAAAGGAAGAATAAGAGAAGAGTTAAGTTTGTCTGTAGTTTCATTCATGTCTTCATCTACGTCATGTATTAAATGCTTCATTTTATCTCCATTAAAAATGCAAGTCAGAAATATTCAGAACATAGCACCGAGTCTAACTGACAAGAGTATAAAGATATACTATGAACACGTTATGATGAAACCAACCAAAATTCAAGAAAGTCAGTATACTTATGAATATCCAAGACACTGGGTAGAGTATGTAGGAGGTGAGAAAGCTATTGAAATAAGACAAGTTAGAAGTATTCCAGCAGGAAGGACAATATTATTGAAGAACTTTAATGTTTTGAGATATAATGATGAAACAAAGAAGCAAGATAGTTTCCCTGTTGCTGTGTATGTGAACTTAGATACAGGAGATGACATGAAAGTTTTTAATACAAAGCTTCAAACGGTAGTGAGAGAACAACTGACTGCGAAGGACATCCATTACCTTCAGAAGTTACCATAGCATATAATTTTGAAACAAACTCAATAGATTTTAAAGTCGTCTCTGCAAAGAAGTCAGGTTTTACATTTAATGAAGCAGATGTATATTCGAATGAAAACTTCAAAGCTATTGCATGGTTAGATAATGACGATTGCTTTAAGAAAATATTTAAATTCAGTGACTCAAAGATGTCAATAGATGACCTTCGTGGAATGTTACCATCGACGTTTACAGTTGAAGGCTCAGCAGGATTGCTTACAAGATTGTCAATTGGTGGCGTTTGGTCTCGTGAGAACATTGTTATAAAATCCAGTATAAGTGAATTTGCTGAAGAATCTATATTATGTCTTTCAAACTACATGTATTCGCCACCGAAGCATTATAGTATAACAAACTTTGTCAGTAAGTTTAACATAAGACTTGTCGAACCTTCTTCAATGAAAGATGTTGTGCTACCTAAAGATGGAAAGGATGGACTCATTATTGAGATGATTTTAATTGCATATTAAATGAGCTTGTTCTTAAAGGTCGTTCATGATGAAATAACTGTTGTAGAAGATGTTAGCAATTGTTCAGACATTTTGAAGCGAATAGATGAGATAAGAAAGAAGTTAGATAGACCGCAAAGCGGTGAGGGTGAAGCCCGTGAGAATGTTTATGTTTCATTGACTTTCTCCAGTAACGAGAACTTTTATGAGATAATATTGAAGAGAGATGATTTTAATATGGGTAAATGGTAGCTTGGGCAGCTTTAGGCGCAATGGGAACAAAAGCATTAGCATTTGGAGCAAAAGCACTTGGAGCTTATGACGCAGTAAATAAAATGAGTGGAGGAAGGGTTTCAAGACATTAGATGCAAATAAAGGAAAGATTGGAGGCTGGGTTGCAAAGAAGTTAAGATTAAATAAAATAGGGCTCATAAATAAAGCATCCAATTTGGTTGCGACTGAGTCAGAAAATGCTTTAGGAAAGGACGATGAGTTTGCAAAACACGCAAAAGACTTTAATGACCAGATGAAAGGTGAAACAATGCATTTAAATAGAGTCGATGGAACTAAAGAAAATGTTTCTTCTCCACCAGCGGTTTATCCATACGGACCTTATGGAATGTATGGAAACCCTTATGAACGACCATTTGACCCATTGACTGGTGGAAGTAATTGGTATCATTATGGACGAAGAAGAAAGACAGTCAAGTTGGAGACAGACGTGAAGAAAGCAACTAAAAAGAAACCAAGGAAGAGAGTTATAAAGCAATGAATTCAACAGGGTAGAAATGAGGTTAGAAATCGGGTTAGAAATCGGGTTAGATCTCACCACTTCACCTAAATTTATTTTTGTGCTATGTTTTCATACGTGTGAGGGTGGTGATATCATTTATTTTTTATTTTATTTTTTAAAATTATTTTTATTTTATTTGGATGTAATGACAGAACAAAAGCAACTCATACAAATCAAAACATATAACAAACATACATTTAAACATTTATTCTTCCTTCCTGAGCATAACATGTTCTTTCAAATACATCCGAGACCAGTTGACTTTTCATTGACTGTTTATAAAGATAGAAATAGTTATATCATTAAACCATACGATGACGAAGGTAAGTTATGTAAATTGTACGTTAAGAAGTTAGAGAAAGTTTATGGCTTCAAGTATGACTACAATAGGGTTAACACTGATGATGAAGATATTGAGGAAAATTTATGAGAACATTAGTGAAGTTGTTAGTGAGAACGATAGTGAGGTGAAATTGTTGGCGGCTTTGTAAATATTTAAGGTTAAGTTAGTTTTTGCGTTCATGTTGTAAAATATACGTTAACGGTTTTGTAAAGTGTCAAATTCACAAGTATTGGGTAAGGTGGAACGCAGTGCCACCATACCCAAGACTTGTATACTAACTAAAACATCCCAGCAAATAATGTATCTGCTTCTGTCATCAAGAAATGAAATTAAATATTGAAGGTTACCGTTATCGTCCTTCAGAAATTTCAAATCAGTATGCCATAATTGATTAACATATTGAGCAACGTATTCATGTGGATGTTCGTCGATTTTCTGATGCCTGTGAAATGTAAACAAATGTTGTTGATTGAAAATTTTGAAAGCATCGTTGAATGTAAATCTTTCGACTTTTTCGAAATATGATTCTTTGATCCTTTTGTATCCAATGTCATATTGTGCTTTTATTTCCAAAATTTTGTATACATCTTCCTCAAAATTTTTTTTCTTTGGTCTTCCTCTTTCTTTTATTGGATAGCCGAGTAGTACGAAAATTTTTTCAAACGTTCTTTTCCTATTGAAAGTGTTTTTGCCGTATCTTCGAGAGTTACATTTGGATTATTAATGTATTCTTGATATTTTTCTTCAATTACGTTGAGAACCTGATCGGCGGGAACGGTTGGGAGTTGAAAAGTTTTAAGATCTTCTGGGTTTTCGAGACGAACCAAGATGTCTTCCATTTTTTAATTTGTAAATTTTTCAATTTTTCAAAAGATAATTTAAAAATACTAGTTATTTGATAAAATTTGTTTATTTTAAATAAAACAATTTTTTTTGAAAAAATTATATTAATGATTTGAAGGCAAAAGCCAAAAACTTAATAGATAAAACCTCTTTCTATATAGATCAACTTCTATTATTAAATTTATAAAAATGGAGAGATTTTGCAAATTATTTTCTAATATATTATATTTATAATCATTTTATTTATCCCATTAATAATTGTGAACCCAGAACATCTTCCCTTCAAAGTGCCAAGCATCAACACACATTCTCACTCACAAATTTTTAAAACTCATTGCCAAAAATCTAAAAAACTCACAATTTTTTTTAAATTGATAACCCTCAAACCGTTTCCAATCAATAATTTGAGAGTCTATATGATAATGTAAAAGTTAAAACATTCAAGTATTTAAGTATTTCTTTAAAATATTAAGTTTTTTATTTTTCCAATAAAATTCTAATATCAAATATTTTTATTTAACGATTAATTTTATTTATATTTTTATAGTTTTTTTTAAGAAAAAATATTGTTAGGGTTTTATGGATTTTCAATTAATATACAAGATAATTCATGAATGTATATATTTCCAAGTTTTTAAGGATGCAACACTTTACATTTGTAAACTGTCAAAAATGAAGTCACGCTATTTTTCATGCATTACGATCAATCAACAGATCTAAACAACTTGAATCGATTGTTTGTGAACGCGATTCAACAATTTCAACATTACGTGATCAACTATCGAAAAGCGAAAATAAATGTCAATCTATCACAGATGCATTACAACATGCACAAGAACAATTAGAAACATCACGTGTATATGACAAAGAAATTGAAACACTTCGTTCACAGCATAATTCATTATTGAAACGAGCCGAAGAAGCAGAACAATGTTTGAGACGATATGAAGAAGAACTTCAATATAAGAAAGAAGAATATACACAATCTATGATTAAACAAAGTTCCACTATTGAAGAATTACAAAATCAACTTATTTCAAGTCATCGCGATTTTGATCTTGCTATTGAACGTCAAAAGAAGTCAGCATCAGAAGCAGAAGAAGCACGAATATTTGCCGAAGACCTTGAACGATCATTCAATAATTTACAACGCACAGTTCTTCGAATTCAAGACAAAATTTCTTCACACAATTCACCAAATCCATATCCATCCAAAAGAGTTTCATTCCCTTGAACATCACTATCATTATCAACATATTCTAATTCTGATTCCAATCCTCAAGAAAATTAATTATTATTTTGTTATTTGTTTGTTTGTTTTGATAATTATTATGTAAAATGTTACGTAATATTTTTGAAATGTTTTCAAAACAAGCTGACTTTTGATTCAATGTTATTTGTCATCTTTAGTTAATTTTGTGATTTATGAACAATTTCTGTCTTTCATAGTGGAGAATAGGTGCATTTACGCCCCTATCACATGACCTTCAATTCATATGTTTAAGGTTGATTTTCAAAGAGTATTCACGCCAATTGTCAAAAATTTGAATTAAAGTCATATGGGCGTAAGTGCAGTCTTATGAAAATAAGAAAAAAATCTGAATTCCATTCTTATTTTATTGAAAGCAAAAGTTCAAAGAACGGCGTTGAAATATGAATAATATACTTTCCTTCTTTATATTTGACTTTCTGTTTGATAATTGTTTCTTGATGTTGAAGATTGAAAGGAATTAAACAATTAGTAGTTGAAAAATATGAAAATAAATGATAAGATGTAATGGAATCAATATTGAATTTATCTGTGAGAGAATTATAAGTATATGTTAAATTATCAATATGACAATTTTCTATTCGTAATGAATTAGCATTATTATAAATCAATGGTCCATTTCCAAAATTTCCAAAAATTGAACAATTAGAAATAGTCATTTTTTCTGTACAACAAATGATACCATAACTTGTACTTGATTGTGAATTATTTAGAATATTACTATTAATAAGATAATATGTTGGATATCCACTACTATAATGCATAAGAACCCAATAATCGCAATGATTTTGACAAATTGAACAAAAATTGACTTTTCCAATTGAATTTCCTGGATATATACCATATGCAGCCCCTTTTGCTTTGGCAGTGTTATTACTAATATTTGAATAACTAATATTAGTAATACTATAAAAACAATAAATAGTTTCTAATCCTTCTTCTTTTTTTCCGCATGATGAAACACAACTTTTAAGAAAATAATTAAAATTTCCATAGGATAAAGATGAATATGAATGTTTTCCATAATTTGATGCTTGTGAATATAATGAACAACATCGTTGTTGAATAACTGAATTATGACCTTTCACGTAAACAGAACCTCCAAAGTCACTCCTTTTGCAGTCATTGAATGAACATTCGGAATGTAATAATTTGATATCATCCGTTGTAATTGAAATAGCACCTTCTTCAAGATCATGAAAAAAACTAAGTAAAACAAAACATTCGGAATTAGTAACAGAAATTGAACAATTAATACATGTTGTTGGATTTGTTTTGTTATTTTCACCATATAATTCATACCAGATGTTTTTTGGAATATTTTCAAAATGATGATAGTGATAATCTCTCCGAAGAGAGAAAATCACTGAAACGTGACATTAAAATTTATAAATTTAGTTTTTTGGTTCATATTCATCCGAAATAGAAGGAATACATTGATGCACCAGTATGTCAAAGCAACTAGTTCAATTAAATTTGCAATATTCATGCCAATTCTTCAGCAAATATTTTCGAGTTTCTAAAGATTAAATTGCTGGAATTTTGATCCAAATATTTAATTAATTTTCTAGAAAATGCATCGAAAATATATAATTATAGCATAATTATTAAAGAAAACAGTATACTTAATTGCAAAATTAAATAAACATTTCAAAAACGGTATTATTTGATCTAATAATAATATAAAATCAATTTGTTTGTATTATTTTGATGATAAATGGGAACTCGCATACAGAAGATATTTATTCAAATTGCATCAAGAATTATATTTATATATGTAAATAAATAGATCTAAACTACTCACAAAATCTAGATTGAGAGGCGGTCAATGACTTTTGAGGGAAAATTAACGCATGGAATTTAATATTATTTAGGTTGATATTCTTGCTTATTATTTCAGAAAAAAATCTTAAAAATTTCAATATGAAAAAAAGGTGACCAAACTATTTTTTGAAAGTCCGCCATAACTTTAATGGTACTATTTCAGCGTGTACAATGAATACAAAAATTCTAAGAGTGCCACATAAAATAGTACTTTAGACTTGAGTTAATGCTACCAAGCAAATGTTAAAAAGATGACTTTAGTGTTTTGATAATCAAAGATTAAAATCATTATTGTCTAAATCAATAATCATAACGACAGAAGTTAATGTTTTTTCATCAGTGCTTTAAATCCACTTTTAAAAGTATACCTCAAAAATTAAAATATCAAAAAAAATTGGCCGATAGGTTTGGCTTTAATTTTTGTCTGCTTTTATGATTTGATATGGATGTTATAATTTTAAAAGTTGAGCCAAATTCACCAATAGATTTTTGAGATTTGCAAATACTCAATAATTTTCAGCGTGTTATCTTTTATTAAAAGAACTATTTGGTTTCAGTATCATATAAATTGATATTTACTTTCTATTTGAACCTTCATTTAGCTAATGATTTAGGAGTAGGTGACAAAAGTGCATACTCTTAAATTAACCTTAAATGTTGATTTTTCGATATTTTCGGTATTAACCTTATTGTAAATTTTTCCGGTGATAAATTTATCACACTGAGGTTATTTTTCCGGTGAGATTTTTAACCTTGATTTAATGAAATTAATATATATAAATTTTATTATTTTTAATTTCGAATGAGTATAATAAAATATTTTTTATGTGTTTTTGTTTTTGATGTGATTTGAATTTTGTTAACTCTTTTCAAAATCACTTCATTTTTATGATTTCGGTGGACTTAGAGGAGCTTATTGCTTTTGGTATTAAACAGGAAGTCAAGGGCGGTGTCCCATACAGAAGAAGAACGGGATCTCCAAAGCAATATGTCACTTATTCATGTTCGTATCCCCTATGCAAGGCAAAATTTAGGGTTGAAGAACAAAATGGAGTGTTTACTATAAGCAAAGTTAATGAAGAACATTGCCATCATATAGGAGTTGAAATGGGTTCACATTACGCGAGTAAATTTTATCAAAAATGGATCGAACTTTATATTAAAAACGGTGGAAAGCAATTTCTTGCTCAAAAAGCATTTTTTGATAAGTTCGGAATTGATACGAATAACAAAGAAACGATGAAACTTTTCGCGCAGTCTACTGATGCTTTAAAGCACAAATTTTATCGCCTTGATGAGATTATTGCACAAAGATTATCAAACGATCCTTACACTTCTTTGGAAGCATTTTTGAATAATTTACAGGAAGAGTGCCCAGATGATCTCGTTCAATTTGATTACAATGGAGATTTTTCCGAGTTTACAATCATATATGCACCTTTTGCTGCAAAAGAATTGGTGCATAGCATTGATAACCCTCTCCACGTCGATTCCACTCATTCTTTAAAGTTAGTATACAATAGTTGGGTATGGTGGCACTGCGTTCCACTTTACCCAATACTTGTGAATTTGACACTTTACAAAACCGTTAACGTATATTTTACAACATGAACGCAAAAACTAATTTAACCTTAAATATTTACAAAGCCGCCAACCACTTCACTAACGAACTCACTAATGTAAAAATAAACGTTCTCACTATCGTTCTCACTAACGACTTCACTAATGTTCTCATAAATTTTCCTCAATATCTTCATCATCAGTGTTAACCCTATTGTAGTCATACTTGAAGCCATAAACTTTCTCTAACTTCTTAACGTACAATTTACATAACTTACCTTCGTCATCATATGGTTTAATGATATAACTATTTCTATCTTTATAAACAGTCAATGAAAAGTCAACTGGTCTCGGATGTATTTGAAAGAACATGTTATGCTCAGGAAGGAAGAATAAATGTTTAAATGTATGTTTGTTATATGTTTTGATTTGTATGAGTTGCTTTTGTTCTGTCATTACATCCAAATAAAATAAAAATAAAATAAAAAATAAACTTAAAAATTAATGATATCACCACCCGCACACGTATGAAAACATAGCACAAAAATAAATTTAGGGTAGAAGGTTAGATCTAACCCGATATCTAACCTCTTTTCTAACCTGTTGAATTCATTGCTTTATAACTCTCTTCCTTTCTCCAACTCTTCTAACTTCTTCCTAAGTTCAGCAATGTTGTCCTCATGAAGTTTAATCTTTCTCAAAATTCCTTCTTTATCTAATGGTTGCTTTATCTTTCTAAACTGAACTCTACCATCCTTCATAGTATGAACGTAAAAACCTTCTGGAATAATTCCTGATTTAATGTATTCTACCAAAAACTTTTGTTTCATTGCTTCAGTGACTTTAGTCGTCATTTCAATCAAATAAAAATGTTCAAATAAAATAAAAATAACGTTATTTTTTCAGTAAGGAAACGCAGGAGTTTTACGATTTATTTGAGGAGTAGGTTCTGGTTTAAATGTTGGAGTCGGTTTAGGAGTTGACTTTTGAACAGGAGTTTGTACTTCCATAGGTTCAGGAGTTATTGAAGGTTTTGCTTGTGAAGGCGTTGGTTTTGGCGAAGGTGTTGGAGTTTGTTTAACTTCAGCTACTTCAGTATTATTTATAACATTTGCTTTATTTCTTTTCAACATCATTACTGCTCCTGCTGTAGCTAGCAAACCTAGTGGGAGACCATATTTTATATAAGGACCTGACCAAATGCTATTTTTGACAGGAGCTGGTGGAACACCTAACCTTGGTGAGACTGTTCTTTGCCATTGTGCAGCTCGTAAGAAATATTCAATAGGTGCTCCATAATCGTTTGGTAAAGTTTGTTTCATAGATGGTGAAGGTTCGCGAGAGCTTGATGAAGAACTCATTTATAAGCTTTAAAAATAAACGTTCATCCTTTATTCCTCACTGTCGTCCGTGGCTAAGTTATAGTCGTCAAGTCTTATTATTGGTATGCCTGACTGTCTTACTTGTATTGCAAAGCAACAATCCCTCATAAATCCAATAAGTGGCTTTGGTACGTTTTCAGTTGCTAGTTCAATAGGTCCTTTAACAGACAATTTGTATGTTATTGGAGCAGTAGATGT